CATGCACTTTTAAGCAGGCTAGACGCACCGGGCCGTGAATGTTGTTGACTCGAGTCGTAATAAATAATAAATTGGGCGATTGCCAGTGTGGGCCAGTGGGCCGGGAAATGCACGTGACATGTCGACGACATTTGCATGCATGAACATGCATGGACTGGCATGCGAGTATGTGAGACTCGGTGCATGAGCATGTGATTGGCATACGTGTGATAATGTGTGCCACGTACGTGCCGTGATTATTATATATTGAACTGCCTAACCTGCAGGGTCAGAATTATTTGATTGTTGTTGCATTATGATTTCAAATATTTGTTTCCGGTCAGGAGATTGCATGCTAGCCTAGCCTAGGTTTAGGGGTTGAACTCATTGAGATTCGTCTCACGGTTGTATAAACCGAAACTTTTCAGACCCCCAGCCGTAAAGATGCCGAACCCGCCGCTTTTTGGAATACCTGTACAGATACACCAGTATATTAGTACCTACCCCGCAGCAAATGGGGAATCATACGTAAGATACCGGTCCGTGGTGTTCATAAATGTGAGAGAGTACTTTCATCAGACCCAGGAGTACGTGGCATGGTGCTTACGAGATGCAGACGAAAACCTAGGGCAACCCCTTAGGACTTTTGATGTGCCAGTCGACCAAGATGGATTGATGATTCCACGAATGGTTGATGGTGAGATAGTCAATCCTCTGGATGTGTATGACGTAGACGGCGTGGATGAGCCCATGCATGGGGAGCCTTAAGTAATCACCGAAGATCCTGATCAGCTCGATGACGAGGAAGAGGAACTCGAAGACATGGACATAGATGATGAGGAAGAAATTGGAGAGGTCGCCAAGGTAGGGTCCGATATGGAGATAGGAGCTGAGGAAGATAACGAGTTAGGTCTTTATCTGGACCTAGAGTTAGAGCTAGATTCGGAGGACGAGAGGATCACAGCCGAGGATGAGTGAGCACAGGCCATGGATTCGGAGGAGTCTTCAGAGGAACCATCGGGCGATTCATCGGAGTCCTCAGACCCTGACTGGGAGCCCTAGAACAGGCCGGTACCCTGGGAAGCAAAGACCGTCTCTTTTGAATGGCGTTCATACCCTAGTTAGCCTAACCACCAGTGCCACTTACCCTTTTTGATATAGTGGCAGTTGACTGCTGTAGGTTTTTGGAGTTGTTCAAAAGGATAGTGTAAAAATGGTTTTTACTATAATAGTACAAGTGTATATTCTTGTTTGATGGCTGTTCTACCTTGGTCTCACGTGTGTTGTTTTTGTACGGGTGTATATATATATTTATATACGTTGTTTCCGCATGTGCCTTATTTCTATTGGGTGTTGGGTCGGCGACGCATCGTGGGAGCGTTGCATGACAAACGACCGGAGGTGGGATGCTCGCACCTCGTGGGGTACGGGGCGTGACACCCTAACTAAGGTGACAACATTCAAAACATAATAATTTATGCAATTATATTTTAATTAAAAACAACATGTATAATAATAATACAACAAAAATTTAAAACATGTAGATATGCCACATAATTTAGAAAAATATTGGACAATATTTATATCTAAATTATATCCTAATTTTAAAAGAAAAAAATTTCGAGTTTTTTTTAATAAAATAATAATATGATATTAAAATCGGGTCGGGTCGCGGATCTGGGTCGGTCAGAACCGACCCGGGTCAACGGACCCGATCCATCGCATTGACCCGGGTTGAATTTTTAGATCCGACCCGAGTTGGGGAGTCAACCCGGATCATTGACCCGGGTATGGATCGGATCGGGCCTGGTCGGGGCTCGGTCCGATGATAAAGACGAAATAGGGCCGGTTCGACTTGGTCGAACTGGCCCTATTTGACTTGCAGACCGGTTCGGGGACGGCTCCCGCATGTCTGGACACGTAGAAGCCTCGACCGGCGAGATCCGGCGGTCTCGCCGGACGACCCAGGCCACCTGTGGCCTGGGTCTCCTCCTTATAAACCTCAACCTACCTTCTCCGACGACTGGGCCCGCCGTCCGATTGCTTGTTCACCGGCCGGCGACCATAAACAAAAACAGCTTCTTTGAGGCATTTTATCGAACATCCGACGTGCGCAGTTAAAAGCGGGGGTTTCCGACCTCTCTCAGGGCTCTGGTCAAATCCGGCGGTCATGGTTCATTCTCGACTGCGAATATGGACCGAGAGGAGCATTGGTATGGGCCAGGATTCACGTGAAATGGCCGGTGCGAATCCCGGCCGATAGGTGCACAAAAACAGGGTAGAAATAGGGCCGGGACTACTCACCGGTCGGCGGTGCGTCTAGGGGGTTTCCGGCGATTCTGATCGTCGGGGACGGTCGTCTGGCTTCTTCTTTGGGTCCTACAAACACTCAAATCTCTTTCTTTTGCTCTCAGTATCTCTCTCTCACTATGCTCTATTTTCGGATTGAGAAAGACCTCCTTCTCTCTCCACTCTCTGCGGCCTTTATAGGCGACGGAAGCCACCTGCTCCGCCCCGAAGTTATGGCCTTAATGGGCCCTGCGCCGACCTGCTCTACGCCACGACTTTGGTGGCCGTTCTAGGCCGGTGCAGGGGAAGAAAAAATCCGGCCTCTGCACTCCTTGACTTCCGCGGCCACAGAAGGGAAGAGGAGAGAGAGAGAGACCGGAAAAGGGGGGAGGGATGGGACTGGCCATCAATGCCCTCCCCCTCCTGCACTCTTACCTGCTCGGTTAGGGACATCGAGGTCGCTCGGCCGTCCGTCGGTCGACGACCAGATGCAGAGCCGAACAAAGGAGGAAAACTGGCGTCGAGGGGGAAAGAAGGAAAAGAAGGAAAAGAAGGAAAAGAAGGAAAAGCTGGGCCGAGCCTGGCCCAGCTCACGCGGAGGGGAGTAGAAGAAAAAAGAAAGTGGGCCGGGCCCTCGCGGGGAAAAAAAGAAAGGGCCGGGTCGACCCGGCCCGATCCGATTTTTTTAAAATTTTTTAATATTTTTTTGAAAGTTAATTAAGAAAAAATGGTTTAATAGGCCCTATTAATGCAAATGTGCCTAATGTCTATATGCAATGCAATTAGATAAATATATTTTTTGTTTTAGGAATTAATTAATAAATTAACTCCTAAATTTTGCATAATTAATTTTGGGCAAAAATTGAAAAATAGGTGTCAACAAAATGGAACCAAACGACATCATTCTAAAATATCTTTAATGATTATCATTTTTCCGGCAAGCCAAGTTAGGTTATCAAATATTAACTCAACAACATGCAAGATTTTCAAGTAAGGGAAATTACCCACGTATTTTGCTTAAGTGATCATTTGAAAAATTATTGCACTAAAGTGAATATCATATGAATGTCATGACACTATTAATGTCCTATTCCCCTTAAAATCCTTAATCCAAATGTTCACCCCAACTTGGCCTCCGGCTGCCGCTGTTACTACCACTACCCTCGTCGCTATCGCTACCTACGATGATCCAATGAAGCCACTCTCTTCTTAGTGTCATCTCCCGTCCCTTTCCCATCCCTCCTCGATCCAGGATAGTTGAGAGCCCACAACCTCTTAATGAGGTTGGGAAGCCAAGAGGTCATCCATGGCTATTCTGAGCTCACTTCAAGGTGACTGAAATGGTGACCTTGACTTTAGGTCATCCTATACGAATGCTTGATAGAGTAACTAGTTCATAATTTTATTTAATTCGAGTTGCTTCAATCCATTCGTTCATGTCATCTTGATACATGTTTGCATCCATACGTTTAGTGATCTTGTTAGCGGTTAATGTTAGTTCGCTCTAGGGTAATCAAGGCACGTTCAGTGAATGCTTCTAGGCTCAAGACTGGGCTAAATACTCACTGTTCAGACCGCCCTCAATCCAAACAGTGAGCGTCCAGCCTCTGTCGGTTCACTTATGCCTCCCCAAGCTGGTCCTTGATGCTCCTTTCTTTTCTCGTTATGAATTCACTCATTTTAGCATCGGGTAGAGCATAATTACTCATGTAGGATACATTTTCACGAAGTTTTAATATAAAAATAGCTCGACATTTCGGCGATTTATCTGTCAATCAACTCATGGCTCGAATTATTCGAGTTCAAGATGCTTCTTTAACAAAATGAAATCTCCCCATGTATGCAAAGAACTCAATAAGTATTGACTCTAAAAAATCAAAGGTAGATAACTTACACGACTATTTGTGACATTTTCTAAAAACCTTCAAATTGGTTTGCATGGGGTATCCGTTAACAGAAAATAGAAATGTAAGCATTTTCATCATCTCTAGAGTAAAACAGTTTGGCAGCATCAAATCGAATAAGATGAATGGAACATAGTACTAAATATCACAGTCTTGCACCAACGACACTTTGCCTATAATAATGCACAAATAGAAAGAGAACATGTACAACACCAAACAAATAAATAAAGTTTGAGCGTTCAAGATAAACTATCTAGTATTTATTTATTTATTAATTTTAATTAGTAGATAAACTCTCTAATAGCATGTCCATTAAGAGCAGCTAATTATCAAGTTATAAACTATGCCTTGTCTTAGAATGTCTGACGAACGATACAAGATTTCCTCATGGCGCACTAATTTTGTAGCACGAGCAATGTTTGCATATGAAGGGTGGGCAAAGAGTCACTGTCCTCTGATGATAAACTTTGAAACCAAGTAAATAATTGCTTGAGGTGCTACCCGTTTGTTTTGATCTTTTGAAAGCAAAAAGTTATATGTTAACTTTCTGGCCAAAATTTTGAACATTTCATAACTAAACTACAAGTATTACTTATTCTAATTTTAAATGTTAATTTATGTGTCACCGTTTATATATCCTAAGTGGTTTTGGGTGTTTCTTATTACATACAGTCGTTATATTTGAAAACAGTCAAAAGTAAAAGTCGCTATTTCTTTCTGAAGGAAATATTCTTACGATGAAAATCGGCTGATCCGGCTGTTATGGTTGGTGTAAAATGGTTAAGAACCCGACTCTGGCAAGCCGAATTCATTTTGGCGCCAGTGACATAAAGAGATAACTTTCAATATTCGATTAATTGAAAATAAGATGCAAGGCCAGGCTCCATTAGTCCAGCCCATAGTCATGTGAGCTAGGACACGCCACTGGCTCAAGCACCCAACTTGTCTTATACACCGAACAATCTTTCCTACTACATAATTTCTTCTGGTCCCAAGTCAAATAGTAGGACTCACATAATTAATTACGTATCACTCACTGACTTCATTAACCCTATTTAAGACTAGTGATGGTATCCTTGTTACCCCATTATTTTGGGTTTTGTAATTTGGGGACAAACTACAAGCAACTGGAGGGCTGTTCCGTGCCAGAAGCTGTGCCACCAGCATGGGCACAAGATGCTGTGGCCACTTGGTTCCGGTAGCTCAGCTTCACGTCTTGCATCTTTATTCCGGTGCACGGGTACTTTGAGCTGCAGTCAAACTTCACAGCCACCTCGGTTGCCGATGTCCCGTGGATGTCTTGGTACGTCACGTCGCTCACTCTAACACCCGAAGCCTATTAAAAGAGAAATGAGAACTTGATCAATAAAAGAAGATCTGAGTGTTCACCGTAATGTTTTTAATATGAACTGCTGTTCAATTTCACTTGACTGGCGTAATTTGGCAAAGAGGAAGCTTTTACCTGATTAGGGCAACCGGAGTTTCCCGGGCAGTAATTCTGATCGATGATGATCGGGTTTTGGACATTGTTCATGATGGCATGCTGGAAGAGGATGTTCCTAGCGAAGCTGCTGCTCGACCTGGCCCACGACTTGATCCTCACTCCATTTTGTGTGCTGGTGAACGTGACCGTCTTAACCGTCACGTTTTGGACACCGTCCTCTTGTTGATCCTTGCCCAGGCTTCCAATGCTGAAAATCAACCACGTTGAAAGATAAATCTCCAAGTCAACTAATGAACAATACCAAATTTGGCGGGACATATGATATATATCCATATAGGGTAATGATGATAAGATAACCAATTACATACCTGATGCCATGTCCGGGTCCGCAAGCGACGTTTTCAATCCAGAGATTGTTGCTGCCAGGGCCGATGGAGACACAGTCGTCGCCTGTCCCGATCTTGGAGTTGAGGATGGTGACGCCGGTGGAGGCGCTGACATGTATGCCGTCAGTGTTGGGGCTGGTCCCAGAGGCCGACACCTTCACGCCTTGCATCTTCACGTTCTGGCAACCGTTGATGACGATGTGGAACATCTGGCTGTTGAGGGAGCTCAGTCCGCTCACCAAAATGTTTTGGGAGTTGCTGATTAATAAGTTCTGCACCCAGACACACCAAAATGACCAAACACTAATCAACCACCGTGTTACACAGATGCATATTCAATCGTTATACAAATGCATAATCCCATCATTGATTAGGGTGAAAGTTTCCCATGATTGGAGGCACTGGTTATCACGTGGCTCAGGTTTGGGTCCCATTTGAGTTTCTTAAACAAGAATACGGACGGTTGACCATTGGGCATAAAATTAGCATAACAGACCCAAAAAAGCGACGCGAAACTGAAACGACAAAGGGCTTAGTTACTTCTCATGATGAAATCTAAACCCACTTTCACGTATCTTACAAAGGGCTCTATTTTTTATAACGTAGGAGAACAACCAAACTCCATGCGTTATTATCTTTAATAAGTAGCAAGTCACTCTACTTAAAAAGATTAATCACAACAAGTTCATTCTACTTCGCACTCATGCCAATCCCCATTAGTTCCCCCCTTTCCCATAAGTATACAACAAGTGTTACATTAAATGATTAAGTTGAAAATGATAATAAGGAAAAGGCTTTTGTTTATTCTTACATTATTGCATTTCAGAAATTATGTTCGAGGATAAGCCGTGACTTCTCTGGTGTGTAGCCTCACATGATTTATGCCATGTAATATACACTTAACAAATAACCAAACCCCCCAAGTACTCAACTTCTCGAGCGAAAGGACGAAAAAACCTTGTTATGGTAACTGTTGTCAACAGTGCGAAATGAACTCCAAAATTCCAAATCAATTTACGAGGATGAATATGCAAATGTAGATGAAGAAGAAATGTGCGTTTGTTTGTGGTTGTATAGTGAGTATAAATGAACATATTTATACGTACTGTAGCGCCGGTAGGGCAGCTCTTGCCGGAGTGCTTGCAAGCCCAGAGGCTCGTGCCTTGTCCGTCAAGGGTCCCTCCAATCACGGACACCCCTGTCACGTGCCTGAGAACGATCCAGTTCCCTGCATTCCCGTTCACATTGTAGTCAGAAGGTGCGACTAGCGTGCCATCGATGCCCACAGTGATGGCTGAGTTCTTGCATGGCCCCTCGAAGGAGGCGGACTGCACCAAGAACCGGCCCTGTGGCACGTAGACGGTGGCAGCACTTGTCGACCGGCATGCTGACGCCCATGCGCTCAGGAAGGCCTTGCTGGAGTCAGTCTTGCCGTCGGCTATCGCGCCGAGAGAGACCACGTTGTACTGAACTGAAGCTGCGTTTGCCGGTGATGGCAATTCGGACAACAACATGAAGATGCTGAGGGCAAGTACCAGATAATTCAGACAAGTGTTGAAGATGAGTTCTGCCATTTTCTTGGGCTTTTTGTGTGTGTGTGTGAGAGAGAGAGAGAGAGAGAAGATGAAGGGTCGGGTGTTCTTGTTGTTGTGTGGCGTTGTGGTGGTGGTGAGGCTGAAACGGTTATGGAGTGATGGTATTTATAGGGGAAATTGAGTCTTTTTGGCACAATTAAAATTTGAAAAAAAACAAAAGCGAACAGAGAAAAAAAAGGAAAAAAGAAAAAGACCGGCCCAACTTGTGATTGGAGAAGTATTATTGGATAATGTGAGCAGTTTGGACAAAAATGCCCCCGTGTTGGGAGACTCTGTGCTTGCAATGTGAATGGGTCGTTGACCAGATTACCATCGCCTTTGTACTAATACTAAAAATTATAATAAGAAATCTAAGGTAGGTGAATTCTACACTCTGAAGAACCCCAAACCAGGCAAAACTCAATAAATGGAGAGAGAGAGAGAGGTATATTGTCATTCCGTCTCTTGGCCCACCAAATTTGTTCTGTTGTTCCGAAACCTTATTTTCTTTCACCTCTCTCTCTCTCTCTCATCCAAATTGGAGAGAGCGGCTTCCTTCTTGGTCGGAAATGGTGCTTCGACGGAGATTGTGGTCTTTGTGGTAGAGACGATGGAAACTGGAAAGTGTAAGGGACAAACTGACAATCGGGTATTTTGCTCTGGGTAGGGTTCTAATCTGAACCCTACAAATACACCCTGAATCCCTACCCGAAGAGTACTAAGTCCAGACCCCAAAATACTTGAAATTTTCGGGTAAGGTGGGGTCGGGTCAGGCCGGGCTTTTTTGACACCCCTACATCCAATGCTTATGTACATATTAATCTTAAGTTTGTCCTATATGCTTGCATAATTTTTTTTCCTGAATCTAGGGTTTCTTGACCCTCCGATGTACCTAAATCGTCGGAGGCGGGGGCCACTTCTCTCTTCTAAGTCTTTTGTGGGGGAAAATAGAAGTAACTAAAATAAGAAGGAAAAAAAAACAGAGAGAGAGGGGACTTTGACATTTATTGCGTTAAAATGATCTAACTCAAAAGGTTTACTATATGACCTTTCATATTACACGCAAATTGCGAAATGGAACAATTACACAAGCCTTCTGATTTATTTATTTTTTTGACATGGCTATACAAAGTATTTATCAAAACTAAAGGTTGTAGGTTGGCAAAAGATCTCTAAGCTTTATTATAATTTGATTTATACACACATTGTGTACGATGAATGATTCAAAGTATTCGTTCACTTGGAAGACTATGGCAATTTGATGACAACACCATGATAGAGATTGACAGTTTTACGAGAGATGACTCCAAGTATACTCATATCTCTCTCTCTCTCATGTGATCAAGGGCGTGTTTCTTGCTTTTCCATCCAATAAGATTCACTAATTTCAGGGGGGAAAGAGAATAAAGAGGCCCATCCTTTTGCTCAACTATATTCCAAAAATTAAGGCTTGATTACGGAAGGAGCAAGGTTACTTTTGGCCTCCATTAGGAAACAATGAGCTATCCCCCATCTAGCCAAGAAGAAAAAGAAATCAAATGGACTCCTCATTCGACGCTAGTATTGAGCTGATTGAGGAGTGACGAAATGCATGTCATCTTATCCCACGTTATAAGGCTCCCAATTTGGAATTTTGGACAGACGTCGAACGACTTTGGAATGCAAATGTTGTCATGTGGTTTATTTTATGACATTCTTTATAGTAAAATAAAGAGAATGCAAAAGGGAACATGGCCAAGTTGGGTTGCTTTTGAAGGAAGAGAATGTCAATGTTTTGTATAGCTATAGTTATAGACAAAAACAAAAACAATTGAATATGTTTCCAAAGGGAAATGAAGAGATTGAAGACCCTTAACTTATTGCCACGGCAAACCAAAACATCCCGCCGTTTTCCAGGCTGCTCTTAGTTTCGGGTGTCATGCCCATCTTTCCATGCTCTCCGTTTCATTTCCTTGGTCATTCTTTTCTTGAAATATCATTCGTCACCGCATTTGATTACATGCTTTGAGTTGGAACATGTACAATTTTATCTCCATCTTACACCAATTATGGCAATGGTCATTGATTAGGGTAATGACAGGATGCAAAGTCAAGCTAATAAATAATAAATCGACATCTGGTAATTAGGCCAGTGTTTGTTTTCCCTAAAGCAAATATTTGTTTACAAATTGTTGGTCATGTTGGTTTCAACTCGGCACCAATCCGTGTATCAAAAGACTTGGTCATGGATTCGAGTCTCGATAAAGACAAATTGCTTGGAATCAAATACACATCGTTGGGGAAAAAAAGGAAAAAAAATAAATAAATGAAACGTTGTTTGGTCCGGCTCTTAAGTCTCCCATGATTTGAAAGGGAAGAATTACCGGCATCAGTTATTACGCTGACTTTCCGGCTTACAAAAGCAAACTGAAGCGAAACTGAAAAATAATACACATAATAATAGTTAAATAGATCTTGGTATTCTAATAAAATAGACTTCAAGTTCAATAAATTAATATATAATATGTATATAATATATATATATATATATATATATATATATATATATATATCTGTGTGTGTGTGTGTGTGTGTTATTGTATGGGCAAAAGGGGTTCTGTCTCTGGCAAATGAGAAAGAAGGGCTTCGGGGGAACGTGGGAAGCGACGTGACAGGTGGAGGATAAAACGGAGGAAATACCGCTAGGCTTGGACGCCCCGAAAATGGCATGGCCCCCACTAACCTCAATGTTAATCGAGTCTATAGTAATTTCTCCTCAATATTTTCTTTTTATGGCTAACTTCCCTTCACTATAAATAAACTTCAAATGAGACCCTAGCCTGTCTCAACAAATTTCTTACTTTCATATGTTTAGGCTAAACTCTTCAATCGCATTCATTATCGTCGAAAATTGTTATTTGTATCACTTCATTCTTGGGACGTTTGCCGCTTCCTACCGTATGCTATACGTGTACAATGACATGTATCAGTTTGCCCAAACTCGTGAAAACCCTAGATGCTTAGCCGAAATTAAGCGTGATTGAAGCTCCTGTACAATAACTAATACTGAAGTCAAATACCCCAAAAAAGTTAACCACCCAAGTCTAACCGCTATCATGAAAAAGAAGTAAAACTCTTGACTAAAGCTTTGTCAAATGACAAAGATTGATGCCCAATAATACTGGATGCTGAGCAAATGTGAACACTTGATGTTCTTGGAATTCAACCGGGATAGACCTCAAGCTCATTCTAATTTGAAGAAGGACATGTCGAGCACTTACCTATCTCATATTCGATGAATTTCAAATCTGCATATTTGTCGTTATCACTATTACATAACGAGTTAATATATAAGTTATAAGCTGCTTATTTCTCGTCCAAGACCCCGATGCATGTGCAGCAACCATTGTTTGTCAACTCTAAAGAATATTATGGTGGGGGGTTTGCACGACCTTTTCTTCCCGTTTTGGTAGTGAAAGAAGAGTGATTTTCTTTCTCACTTTCTCATGGTTCCACATGGCCGAATGCCAATGTCGACTTCTCTTTCAAGCCATCTCATCTCAGCCAATAATGTAGCCATAAAGGAAGGTAGCATAATTTACATGTACATATATTGGTTTGATTTGATTTAGTTAGTTGAACAAATTGAGACATTTTAACTGTGACGGTTATGTGTGGTCCCCCAAATTCATGGAATATTGATTATCCCATTAAATTTAATTTTTACTTCTTTTGATTTTCAATGAAGTGATCAACTTGATTGTAAGAGAGATTGCCATATACCTCAATAATACTTGGACCTTGCCATACTGTGAGTGGATATTTTACGTATAGTTTCAAGGTCATATATGCAATAAGTGAACCCGTAAATATTTGTCACGTAGAACAGGAGATGCTGGCGATTGGCATGGATGAGCTTGCTTCCGGCTCCATTCACTACTTTTGGAATTCTAATTATACGGTGGTACAATAGCCGCAATAGAATGAATTCTAATTATACGGTGGTACAAGCTAATAATTTTCTTGTGAATGCAAGCAACCGGGACCTAACCATGAACAAGTTCATGTATTTGATTAACTTGCTGGTGTTGCAAAGAGATATGGGAGATGTAATCATTAATCTTCATATAAAAAGGGTCGAAATGTAAGAGAGTGGCAAGATCGTGGCGTCTTCAGCGATTGATTCTTGGTATTTACACACTTGAATCAAACAGAAAAAATTAGGATCGAGTCATGCGCAAGAACACACGAGAGCCAAGAATTATTGCTGCACCCGGCATCAATCCCATGTGATAATCTATCCGTGGTACGATACTACAACCATTGGACGGAAAGGTCGGGGAATGATGAACCCTATAATTTAGCATATGCAATAAAAAATTAGATCCCCTTCCACCATTTTTGCTGAGCTCACATGCTGAGGCCCTGGGGAAAAAATATTGGGTTCGCACATTGATAATTCCAAAACGATGTTATGGCCGTTGTTTGTTGAAGTTGTTCGAGCACCACCTTACGAATTATGCGGAACCATTATAATGTACATCTAAATAAACAGTTGCCGAATTCACAGCACCTATCTACTTTTGTGATTTGAAATTGTTGCAACAAAGTCCAATTTATTTACGAAAAGCATGTGCATCTATGGACAACAACTAACAATGTCGTCCGAGTCCAAAGAAGAAGAAGAGGAGGAAGAGAATTCTGGTTTTTCGGGTTCTATGAAGGTTTGAATCCATGAATGCATGATGCCATGTTTCAGGGGTTCCTTGTTTTAGGCAGATTGTGTTGCGAGGGAGAGAGAGAGAGAGGGATACATGTGATGGGATATAATGTTCGGCAAGAGTTTTTTTTTTTTTTTTGGTCGAAAAGCATGTTAGGCAAGAGTTGACCATTTGATTTCGGCTAGGCAATTAGGATGTAGGTTAGGCACCTGACCCTTCCATTTGCACATTCTATGCAGAAAGAATGGAATGGATCTTCAGTCATGTAAAGCACATTTCCCACGTGAGAATGGTGGCAATGAGAGCAAATCCCCAGTGGTTTACCCACCTTAGAATTGATCCAATTATGAGGGCACTCTTATGTTTCCTGCTCAAGAACCG